TGATCTGTTAATGTTAAGTAACAGACATAGTTTGTACAATTTTTAAAAAGAGCAGAGGGAACAAATTACTATATGTTAATTTAGAGTCAATTTCACTTAGTTTCTAACATGTAGAATTAATATTTAATACCCAATTAATAGATTCTGGTCCTGAAGCCTACTCTTCCAAATAGGCTCTATTTATACATCCTGCTGACAAGGTTGGGACTTCCAGTCAGTTCACTCTCTTCAGCTTCTGATGAAGACAAGGTATATTCTGCAGTCATTCCTTAACTCTCCCACCTCTTGATGACAACACTGTTCTGAGAGTTTAAAAATCACATATAGAGTACATGTTCAGGTCTATTTACTGTCTTAATTATACTTTAACAATGAAGTCTGTAGAATTATGTAGCAAAAATAATCTTCGTCAAATATGTTTCTGTTCAATGACACATTTTGGAATTGTGGAATCTGACATAGAAGGCACTAATAGATGTATGCAGCCAAGCAGAGTAATTACACCTGTTACCTGGAAGACCTCAGTTCACGGGCATGCCTAAAGCTAGTGGGGAATTTCTAGAACACTTTCCCCATCATCCTAAATTATTACAGAAATTTGCTCCATGAAAGCAACCACTTAGATCCTAAAAAAAAACAAAAGAAGCCAAAGGCAAACCTCAAAGAGAAAAAGTTAGAGAGTCCCAAATGTGTTCCCATTATTCAGAAAGGGGATACGATAGAAATGCTTTGGGAGTGATAGGCAAATGCTGGAGACCCGCTCCAGCAGAATGTCGTGTCAGGAGTCCCTGAAAGGAGAGGATGGCTTCGGTGAAACTGAGGGCTCAGGGCTGAGGGGAAGAGGGATGAGGCAGACACAGACACTCTTTCTCTGGTGCAAGAATCTCCTGCTGAGGGTCTCAGCGGGTCTTTATTTTTACAGTAAGGCGAGTAGTGAGATTACATCAGCATAAGCACTAGAGCAAAACAAAGACAATCATTACATATTTTCTCATGAACATATAGAGACCCTCTTGGTCTCATACCAAAAGGGTACTCCTTTGATCACCCTAAGAAAACATCAGGGATAATTAGTTTTCTTGGTGCAACTCATTTCCCATCATGATCAGTTAGTTATCTAAGACAGCACACTATTTGGTAACAATTTTCATCCTATTAAACTTTCCTAATTTTTTTTTTTCTTTCGTTTGTTGCACCATGTGGGTAGCTCCTTGGCTGGCTGGGGATCAAACTCCTGCTGCAGAGGCTGTAGATAGCTTCACAGTGCTGTGATTAACCCCTTGTGCCACCAGATAGGCCTGCATTTCTTGATAATAAGTGAAGAGGAACATTTTCTCATGAGCCTGTTGATTATCTGCACATCTTCTTTGGGAAATACCTAATTAGCTTTTCTGTCCTTTTTTTTTTTAATTGGTTCTTTTTTTTTATCGGTCTCATAATTTATTATTATTTTTTATTTTTTTTAAATAATAAATTTTATTTTTATATTCCCCATACAATTGCAACCCCCCCATTCTGACCCCAATCCCTCCCCTCCCACCCCTCACCCCCCAAAAAGTGTCTCTGGTTCATAGTTTTTTGTTGATTTTGATTTTCGCTTTCTTATAGTTATTCATTTTTCTGGTCCCTTATTTAAGTTTTCTAGATTCCTGCTATGAGTGAGACCATCCGGTATTTTTTTTTTTCTTTTTGGCTTATTTCGCTGAGCATGATCCCTTCTAGCGCCATCCATGTTGCTGCAAATTGCATGTGTTTATCTTTTTTGAATGCTGAGTAATATTCCATGGTATATATGTACCACATCTTCTTAATCCAGTCATCTATTTTTGGGCATTTGGGCTGTTTCCAAAGCTTAGCTATTGTAAATAGTGCTGCTATAAACATAGGGGTGCAGGTGCTCTTTGGAATTGATGTTTCTGTGTCCTTTGGGTAAATACCTAGGAGTGGAATTGCTGGATCATATGGAAGCTCTATGTTTAGTAGGTCCAGAAATCTCCACACAGCTCTCCATAGTGGTTGGACCAGTTTGCACTCCCACCAACAGTGCAGAAGAGTTCCTTTTTCTCCACACCCTCGCCAACATTTGTTGTTGCTAGTTTTTTTAATATGTGCCATTCTCACTGGTGTAAGATGGTATCTCATGGTAGTTTTGATTTGCATTTCCCTGATGACAAGTGATGTTAAACTTTCCTAATTTTGGAGTGGGCGTGAAAGTCCTATCCTATATTCTATTACTAAAATTAACCTATCTCCCTACCACACAATTAACTTAGCTAATTTATCAATTACTTCAAAGTGGCCTAAAGTAAGTCATCAAATCTATGTTAATTCTACTGAAGTCTAACTCTTAACTAGAAATACCTAACCTCCACACAGCCTGCGCACTATTGACCTTTTGCATACACCAGGAAATGTACTATTGCCACAAGCACATACCCCTCATCCCCTTAGGATATGGTTTCCAAGCACAGCTGGTTCAAGGCAGCTTGTTCTCCATAGTTCTCAGGGCCAAAACATTTCTTTCCTGGCTATGCCTTTAGAAATTTTACTTTGTTTAGGAATGATTCAAGCATAAGAATAGGCCAATTAACGCCTAGGTCCAAATTAGGTTTTCACAAGCGAATTTATAACTAACTTACTTATGCATTATTAACCAAGAACAAACAGGCGTTGCCATGGAAACTCCCTTATTCAGATCTTCTGGGAAGTGCAGGATTCCCCTCCTCTGGGGAGTCTCCCCCAATTCCCGGACCTTGTCCAGAGACAGCATGGGTAGCGTTGCCTATCACAGGCAAAGGAATTTCAAACTATGAAAAAAATGCTTTAAAAATGCTTGAAGCAGTATAACTGCTATAGAGGTGAATTTCAATTGTTATCACAATTTCTAAGAATTTTAAAGCGTCAGAGAATTGGGGGCTCTTTAATTGCACAAATCAATGTACTTGAAGCGAAAAAAAGAAAAAAAGGTTACTTTTGTCCCCATGTGACATCAAATGCTTGGCTTAGACAGGGCAGAGAGCAGCTTATTAAATTAAGTGGATACTAATTTTTAAAAAGTGCTCTGATAGTTTTGGTTACAACTAGTAGAGCTGATGTTTTTATGCTTTAAAAGGACTACATTCTTTGAGTTTCTGTTTAATTTTATTATTTTAAGAGAAGGTGTTTCTTCAAACGTGTAAAGATAGCATAAGAAAGAAGTGGAAATCTACTCTTTTAATTATATGTTTTATATTTATTGCATTATTATATGTTTTTATATTGTATGTATTTTTATAGTATATTATGTGTTTATATATTGTAATCTATCAAGAACTCTGAATATCCTTAATATGTTTGTTAAAATATAGCCAATTTTGTGCATTTTGATAATTAGTATTTTACCATAAACATATATGTATCTGTATATTTAAAACTGGGGATTTACTTTCATTGTATAACAAAGAAAAAAATGCATAAATCATGCCAGGCAGAATATGGATGTTTAATTTTTTTTTAATATTTTAAAAATTTTGTTATAAACCATCTACTAATATGAGTTTCTGAGATGACCGTTTCCCCCCAAACTTATGTAAGGTTAAAACTCAGGTTTGGATTGATCCATTGTCCATAACATGTAGCATTCTAGCTCTCTATACTTTTACTGACACAGTGTGGGGTAAGTGAGATACAGTCAGCAGTGGAAACTTTCTGTGTGGGAATGTTGAATGTGGTGTCATTGGCTCTCTTTCTTTCTGACATAGGCTCTGAGGCCAGTCACACATCAAGGGCCTCCTCATCTCAGAGCAGAGGGCAAGGCCAGCAGAGGCAGCACATCCTCGCTGAGTTCCTACCCAAGATAGTCTTCCAGCTGGTGAAACCCCAAGGCAAACACACAGGTATGATCAGCCAGTGTGGGTGTGTGACCCCAGCACTGCTGTCAGGCTGCTGGGCAGGGAGAGACCAAATAGAATGTGCTCTTGGGAAGTTCTGTAGAAAGTTGGGAGGGATTTGGATTGTAGTTGAAAATAATTGACCTTGGGATCCATGTTAATTTATATTGAATGTTAACTTTATAGGCGGGAGAGAAATGCATCAGAATGATAGTGGGTCAAAATATTTGCTATATGGAAACTGATTTTTTAAAATCCTCAAATGTTATGTTTTGGTGAGTTTTTAATTCTTTTTAGACAGTATAAATCTTTATTTCTTTCTCTTATTTCTATGGGTGCTGCCTACTGATTAGCCATAAATTATCCAAATTAAATATCACCCTAAAGTTAATTGAAATAGAAAAGTTCAAGTATTTTGATAATGTGACTATCAAAACAATCCAGTTTTATATTTATGAATTTGTTTTCTTGTTATTTCGGCATATAGATATCCAATTAAAAAGCTAACAAACAGTTAGCTGGGAAATATATTCCTTTAAAACACTGTGGTGGAGAGAATACTTACTGAAAAACAAATGGAAGTATATTTTTACATTTTATCATTGCTTCATGGTTGTTAAAAATCAACTTTCCTCAATTTGCAAGGTAATTAAAGCACATCATAAATATATTTTATGAACTCAAGATTCAGATCTATTTAAGAATAACAGTTATCTGGGCCTTACTACAAAGTAACCAAAAAGATATTTTAGAAATATCTTTTTTTCTCCCTTATCACTATTTATTATATTTCCAGGGGAGGGAATTTATTATGATTTTTGTGGAATTGCTATTTATATAAGACTAATATAAGTGAAGATGACATTTTTGCTTAAATATAAATAAAAATAGGTCTGAACTAAATATATTTATTGCATATCTGTATACAGTTTCTTTTAATATTTTTATCTATATACATATATATGTATCTATTTCTGAGAGTCCCAGATAAAGTACTTTAACTTACTTATTTCAGATGATCATGCTTTCATTCCCTCAGCTGTCTATATTACTTCAGGATGAATGTTTCCATTTTTTAATGTTTTTAACTATACCATATGAAACATTGCAGAAAATTCCTGCTGTGCACTTTGCTAGAAACTCTCAGAAATGAGTGAAGAGAGAGTGACATATGTGGAGCTCAAATTGCCCAGGTCAAAGAAACACGACAGAGGATATACAGCTCAAAAAAGGAGAGGTAGTTGCTTTTCTGCTTTCTTGATTTCTTCAGGGTAATATCAAGTAAGAAAACATGAAATCACAATTGTATCTAGATATTATATATCTGATTGTTTATATTAAGGATTAAATTTAAATATAGTATTTGAAGAGGTATAGTATTTCAAATATAGTATAGTATAGTACTTCAGGTATAGTACTTCAAATATAGTATTTGAAGAGTAATATCACAGGAAATAGTGATATTAACTTGAAACACCAGAAGAAATTTCCATTTTATATTAATTCTGAGGACTCTGCTCTGCACAGCACTTACTTTTTTTTTTTTTTTGCTTTTACTTTTGCACAGAATTTTCATGGCGTATCATTGCAATAAGTCTGGGAATTTTATGTTTTTTACTCCTGCTCGCAACCTCAAGCTTAGGAATTATGTGTGAGTATCAGGAACATACATTTCTTCTGGGAACAATGGGCCAGGATGAAGAAATGAGATAATTAAACTACTGATCCTTTGCTGAACCTTTGTTAATGACAAAGTCCTATAGAAATGTTAGTAACCATGATGGTATGTGTGATAATATTGACAAGAGTAATGATTTTATTAATTTGCTATTAGTTTTTTTTTTGGCCACACAAAATGGTGTGACAACTTTAAAATTGATAAAAATTTTACTAATATGTACAATGTGGTTTACATATACATTAGAACTTTTTTTTTTTTATTTAGGGATATATTTCCAAACCTAAGAAATAGGTTTGACTAAGTATGCAACCTCATGAAAACCTTTTATATCATGTTAAGAGATATTAGATTTGCCCTAAAAATGTTTGCAGATTTATATGAGTTGTTTATATGGAACTGTTTGCAGATTTATATGAGCGAACAACTTGACAAGTCACATGGAGTAAAGCACATTATAAATAATTTTATACTGGCACCCAATATCTAATAATAATAATAAAAATAACCGCAACACCTTTTATGAAGGACATGAAAAAGAAAGAACAAGGATTTTTGTGAAAAGGTGTCTTTAGATAATCATGTGCAAGAGGAGAGAAGAAGGAAATGATGATTCAGAGAGAAATGGAATAGTAGGACATCATGCTTTCTAAAGATGCGATAGAAGATGACATCTAGTCTATGAGTTAGAGTTCCAGACTTGTTTAGTAGGAAGAAAATTTTATTTCTGAGAGAGATGAATAAATACCTGTATATTTTTAGGAGGAGAAGCAAATAGGTCAGGATCACTTATGCTTGATGTTGACTAATTCTGTATGAAGTAGCAGATGACACCTTCTTCTGAGAAGAGTTCAAGGAGATGCAGTAGATAATTTTAGATAAGGTTAAATATTTGAAATAGTTGTTCAGTTTTGAAAAGTATACCGTGGAGATTGAGGAGTATTAAAACCATAAATCTTGATCAGCATTAATCTGCATCTATGTAGTTTTTTGAATTTTTGTCATCTTTCAGAAGCTAGTGAGGAGATGAGGGAGAGGTGAGTGATAGAGTGTGTGGGAGTTAGCTACTTTTAGATGTGCATAAAGACAGCTGCAAGATTGTTGGACATCCTCCCAAAATTAGTTCTCTGCTATGTGGCCCTGGGTAGACAAGAAAGGAAAGGAGTTGGGAACAGAGTAATTACAAGATGTGATAGTATTTAGGACTGGGTTTTGATGTGTCTTTTTAAATCAGGTCCAGAATATGAACATTGGAATGGATTGTTGAATTGGAGCATTAGTATACTTATTGTAATTAAGGAGATTAAGAAACTGCACAATTGATCTTGTTAAATATTTACAAGTAGGCATTGAATAGGTGAGTTAGCAGAATTCGAAGTAATCATTGACTTAAAAAAAAAAAATGTCTATACCCCAGGATAGTCACACACATCATGTTTTTTTTAAAGTTTTAGTGATTTTTTTACAAGTGCTATTTTTGTGAGATTTTAAACTTCTTTCCCCATTTATATTCACTGAACCCATTATAAACTTATACTAAACATAGAGTCAAATTTCCTTGTCTAGCTCTGAATGTAAATACTAAAAGATACTTAGCACTGTTTCACAAACTTTGAAAACTGATGAATAGATGACTTAGAAACCAGTTAATATTTTTCCCCAGTTTTATTTTCTGTTATGTATATATAACTTACTGTTTTATATAGTTTAAAAAATGTATAACAAGTTATTGTTTAATTTAAAAATTGATTTTTTGGGCCTCCCCGGTGGTACAGCGGTTGAGTGCTGGACTGAGAACCTGCCCGCAGCCTCTGCAGCACCGGTTCAATCCCTGGCCAGTGGGCGAGGGTCCCACATGGTGTGCAGACCTCTCCTGCCATGCCCACTGCTCCCCTCAGCAGTGTATTTCATCAGTCTGCCTGTTCTGCTCTCTGCTCTGGCTCTGGTGAATTCTCTCACCCTTCCACGCTTCTGACTGTACCCAGTGCTTGTATAAATAAATCTTAAAAAAAAAAAAAGATTTATTAAAATTGACTATTGTTCTTAATAATATTTTAAGCTTATATTTAATCCAAATGTAGTTAACCAACATTATTTACTTATCTACTTTGCTAGATAAGAAACACACAAACAAAGAAAATTCTTCCTCATCTGAGGGTTTATCACCTACTACAGGTATGTATTGAATACTTAAGCTGACAGTGTGCTGACTTTTCTTTTTGGAATCACTACTTTCTGTTCCATTTCAATATGTCACTTAAAAACATTATGTTAAAATTTGTTAGGACTTCTAATTTTTTCTTATTTTTCTCTTAATTTTATTTTCTTTATGACAGCTAATTCAAACTTGACTTTCTTAAAGTAAGAAGCCTCTATTATTATTTTGATTTAGTTATTTGAGTAATTTTTGTTAGTAGACATATGATCTCAAGTACAGATTCCTTGGAGTAAGCACCATTCCCATATATTCACTTGATCCATTTTTTCCCTTGAGGGAGAAATGCTCCATATCACTGCAGTTTATTTGTACTCGAGAAGTCAAGATTTTCCAGTGCTCTCTTAACAATGACCATCGGTCTGTCAGAAACAGTCTTAGAATCCGCAGTATTCTAAACTCCAGAATTTGGAGAAGACCTATGCTTAACTTGTAGATTTTGGAATACAAGGAAATCATTTATTCTCTGGTCATTCAGACTATAGTAAGCAATGAAATATATATAAAGACAATCTCTAACTGGTCATGGGGTTTAAAGGTGATGGTTTTTGTTTTCAAAACACAGGATGTGATACATGTTCTGGAAAATGGTCCTGCTGTGGAAAAATGTGTTATTATTTTTCCAAAGAAGTGAAAACATGGGATGAGAGTAAGAAGTCATGTGAAGGCCGTGGTGCTAGTCTCATTAAGATAGATGATGAAGGGGAGCAGGTATGTTTATTTTATTCAGTCTGATTAAATGCTTTATGAGAACTTTTGTTTTGAATTAGATAATTAGTTAGACTTTTTTTCCAATATTATTTGAGTGATTGGTTTGCCTCTAGAACATTCTAGTGCAGATTTACCTGCAAAAAAGGGACCCATGTAGAATGAGAGCTGGAAGAGCTTGTGAACTTGTACTAAGTTCTGTTCTTCCACCATCCATATTTGGCAGGGATCACACTTCTAAGGGAAGATGAGCCATCACTTTCATCACTAAGAAAAAAAAGGATGAAAAATTAGGAAAGTGAATGTAATTGGAATGATTTCTTCAGAAGTGAATTTTGCTTTTCTCATTATCCAAAATGACAGAGGAAGCTTCTCTTTTCTAGAAGATGATTCCTGATCTATTTGCAGTTAGTTGTAAGGTTTGGGAATATAAAGTGGACACCTAACATACTCTGTAGATTTTCTTCTGTTTTTTTGTCAAAGATAATTTTTTTTTAAGATTTATTTATTTATTTATACAAACACTGGGTACAATCAGAAGCACGGGAGGGTGAGAGAATTCATCAGAGCCGGAGTGGGGAACAGAACAGGCAGACTGACAAAATACACTGCTGAGGGGAGCAGCAGGCATGGCAGGAGAGGTCTGTCGAACCATGTGGGACCCTCAGCAGCGGCGGGGGATTGCATCAGTGCTGCAGAGGCTGCAGGCAGCTTTGCAGCCCAGCGCTCAACCACTGCACCACCAGGGGAGGCCCAGGAATCTTATTTCTGTTTGTGTCTTAAGAGTAGCTAAAAATCCTATGCTCTCTTGTTTATAAAATTCTTACTTTAGATTTTAGAAAAAAAAATCTTACTTTATCAAAATATTATAGATGATTTTTTACTATAAAAAATGAATGAACAAAGTAAGAGAATATGGAGTCAAAGAAATATAAAAATTCATATGCAATTCTATCATTTGTACTTCATTTAGCAATTAATTCCTAAATAATTGATATTATTCTCCATCAAGTTATTATTCTTATTTATAATTAATATTTTTCCTTCTAAGTTCCAATTCTCTTGTCTAGTTTTATTGTTGCTATTGAAGTTTCTAGACTTCAGAGTTCAATGAAACTCCTTATTAACTGTCAACTCTATATTTCTATTCTAGCTTCTTTGAAATTTCTTGAAACTTCTACTCTTCATTAAGGCAAAGCTAGGCTGCACACTCTCAACTTCATTTGATGATAACTTTGCTGTTAGAATCTAAAACTGGAATACTGAGATGCTATATAAACCCCTCACTGACTGTTAAGACAGAACATTGCACTAATAGCTTAGGGTTTTCATTCTTTTTCTACTTTACAAAGTCAGAGAGTGCAGTTAAAGCAGTGACTTCAAATCAGTTACATTTGAAAACATAGATTGGCTCATACATTCATGCTTACTCTTAACATCTACCAAAGAAATGTGAATAAATGTATTAATGGATATTTAATTGTAGCTATTTTCAGAGACATGAAATGATCAGGTGTATTTTTAACATGCCTTTCCCCCCTGGATATTAGAAGATAAAGTATTACAATTTTTCTTTTAGGCAATTTAATTTTAGTGGTAAAATATTAGACTGTTTGAGTAGTGTGTATATGTATGAAGGAGAGAGGAGAAAAGGTGAGAAATATATTGCTTTTAGGAAAGAAGATTTGTTTTACATTAAATCTATAGGAATACATCTATAATGAATTCAGAATATCGATTCAAATAATGATTGTAGATGATGAACAGATTTTCTGTTAAAGCTGTTTGACAGATTCCATGCATTATGTTAGTCCCCAAAATGTTCACTACAGTATAATTTCAAACTTATATATGTTAGGAAAATTCTCAAAGAGGTAAATTTACCTAAGTTTACATAGCCAACACATCACTTAACCTGTTTTTAAAACTTGCAACTGTAGCTTTCTTCCTGCATATAAGTCATCATATCCCTTTCTTAGCTCTCATCCAGTCATGAAGACTTGAGTGATTGATTCATGAGGTCTTTCCATTTCTATTTCTTGTGGTCATGATAGAAAAATTAGTGGCAGATCTATTTACCTTAAGAGTTTTGAAGATAAATGTGTCAGTATATTAGAGAGTTTTTGTAGTAAAGAGTTGTCATCAATATTGACAATAATGATAGATTCCGATTTTCTCACAGAAATTCATTCAAGCCAAAATAAAATATAATCATTGGATTGGATTATATGCAAAAGGAGCTACCTGGTGGTGGCTGGACAGCTTAAAACCTTCTCAGAAATTGTAAGTTTTCATTTTATATCTTCCCCTTTGTTTTTCAATAACTGATTTATAAGTTATAGGTCAAGAACAGATGAGATACTTAGGGACTTAGGGCACATTTTTAATTCCATTTAATTACATTTCCTAGATAGGTAACAAGATGCTAGTCTCAGAGCCCCACACACTCAGACCTGAAGAACCTTCTTTCTTCCTGTGTTGTTTAATGGAGGGTGCTTTCAAACACAGTGAAACAACATTTTGCTTCTATTACCTTCTCTTGCATGTGCAAAGATACTAGCTGTGTTGACAGTTGTGGTCAGAGAAAAGGTAAAAATAAATGTGAAAGAAAAAAATCAGCCCTTCCTCTAAATGAAATTAGTAGCTGTTTGTTTGAAATCATTTAAGAACTAGGAGAAGATCTATTTCTAAAGAAATCATTTAGTGATCTTGAATCACTATTGTGATGATTAATATTTTTCATGCCATTGTTTAATACAACTGCACATAATAAATGGTAGTTTTCTTTCACTGTAAGAGTTAACAGATATTTGTTAGTTGATGGTCCAGGAAGCTGGTGAAAAAGAAGAAAACAATTCTAATTATAGTTAAACCTAAGTAGCATGGGGTGAAAATGCATACCATGGGCTAGTTCACATTATTTCTCCTGAATGCTTACATGCCAACACCACTCTGAAGCTACAGGGATGAATAAGCATGAAATGCATCCTGCTATTCTGGATGTTATATTCTAATGCAGGGGTGGTAATCACTCTGGGGGATGAATGATGATAAACCAAAAATGCCATGTAAACTACCTAGCATATTAGAAATCAATCAGTGCTGTTTGTGTGATGTGTAGCTCTTCTTGCTAAATCACAAGTACTCTTATTGTGTGTGGATGGAAGATGAAGAGATTTAGCTTTTTTAAATGAAGTATCAGGGACACTGAGGCAGTGACTTTGCACAAAGACTTGATGAACATGCTGTGTGGCTATTAAATGAATAACATCCTAGCAGGAAAATCAGACATAAAGACACAGAAGGGGGACCATATCTAATAGCTTGAGGAAGGTATGACTGAGATGCTGGAGCAAAGTGAGCAAGGAGGGAAGTGGGTCAGAGAGGTAATAGCGTGAGAGCTTGTAGGCCATCACAGGTCACTGTAAGAACTTAGTGTTTTTTCATATATAATTAGAAACTTTTAATGAGTTTTGAACATAGGTTTTAAGTCCAAAAATTGTAGGAATGTTGTTGCCATGAACTTTGATGTGGAATTTCTGGATTTTGGTTTTAGATCAGTTTGGTTTATCTTTTCAACATTTAGATTTCTATGGGTCTGTCCCCTGGGTATTTTGGTACATGATTATTAAGTTTCAATGAGAGTCTGTGTGGGATGCAAATGGTTTCATCTCAGTGTGTAGACTGTGTTATTACTACACGGCTGGAAGTGATCATCAGGAAATGTAAGTTCTGAACTCTTGGGCACCCAGATATTTAAGACAATGTGAAGATAATGGGAGTATTAGGATACTATGGAAACATGAATGAAAAAAGTTGGTAAGAAGATAGGTGGTGAACCATGGAAGAGAAAGTAGGATAATGAGAAACCTGAAAAAGGAGTACTTCTGAAATAAATAGCAGAGTTGAAAAGGTTGTTGACTTCTTACTGTTTTATTTTTTGAAATCATTACTTGCTACCTATTAGTTTCATTAACATATGAAGGAACATTAATTTTCCCTGTGTATCTTACCTAGTCCTAAAATTTAAAATCCATGTCCCCTAACCTCATTGATAAATATCACAGAATTTTAATCCCGTGGTTTCCAAGTCAGTAGGTTTCATGGGAAAAATATTACTCTCTCTTTCTAAATATGTGCAAGTATCTTCTCTGCTCAAAGTAAGGCTAAAATTGGAGATTTTTCTTGTGCATATTAATCTGATTCACAGGAAACTGGAAATATTTTTATATTGTTACCTTGTATTAGATAATGAATTTATTTTATTTAACCATCTGATAATTTTCACATTAATTTTTGAAGGGTGCACACTAATCCAGGTAAACCTCCTATACTATACCATCTTGGCTACTTCTTCCTCACCTCTAATTGCCATTGGCTATGTTCCTATTTTTTTAACAGTGATTACATTTCATGAACTTAGAGCTTTATATCTGTCACAGATTTTATAGCCATTGAAATAATTGCAAACTAATATTTTGTATTGATCAAATTTTTGCTTCAGAAATGACTTTTTATAATAAATCTGCTCTCTGATGCAGGAAGTTTCAACTGCCCATACGTGATGGAAAATGTGGACTACTCAAGTTAACAAATATTGTTCCTGCTGTTTGTACTTTTGAATTTCGTTACATTTGTGAAAAGAATTTTGACATTCTTGATAATTAAAACAATTACTATACTCATAGTATTTTCATTCTTTATTTCGAAACTTAAAACAAAACATCTGATATTCACTCAAGCTATTCAACTATGAGTGAAGTTTGAAGGATAATGATCTCTTTTTTTTTTTTTAAGATTTATTTATTCATTTATACAAGCACTGGGTACAGTCAGAAGCTCGGGAGGGTGAGAGAATTCATCAGAGCCAGAGCGGGGAGTAGAACAGGCAGACTGACGGAATACACTGCTGAGGGGAGCAGTGGGCGGCAGGAGAGGTCTGCGCGTCATGTGGGACCCTTGCCTGGTGGCCGGGGATGGAACCCGTGCTGCAGAGGCTGCGGGCAGCTTCGCAACCCAGCACTCAACCGCTGCGCCACCAGGGGAGGCCTGGATAATGTTCTCTTAATCAAGGAGGAACAAGATATTTTATATATAATGAAATCACTATTCCCCAAACTACATTCACTTTTCTGAAATTTCAAGAACTAATTAATCATAGAACATGAGATAATTTCATTTTGATAAAAATTATTTTCCCTTAAACATTTTATTAATATTTTTGGTCAGGTAATTAATACATTTACATTACATTAATACATTTACAAAATTTAAACGAATTCTCTTTATCCCTCTTGTCCTCGACCTAGTTTCCACCTGGGGGCAGATATATACCTAGTGTTCTATATACTAATCCAGACATAATCTGTGAAAGTGTTACCATGTATGCATTACCTGTTTAAGCACATGTTACTAAATAATAAATCATAGCCCTGCTTCTTCAGATTTTTTAATTAATTAATTAATATATATTTTGCATCATTTTAAACAATGCTGCCTCCTCTTTCCCCTCCAGGTGCAGTCCCCATAGAATTTCCTCCACTAGTTACCCTGTGCACTATCACCACAGTCCCCTGTGCTCCTTCCTCCCTCCCACCAAGTCCTCCCTCTCCTCCTCCCCTGCAGGATGTGTCTGGCTTTGTAAACCAGATTTTATTTAAAAAGACATGTTGAAAATTGTTTCATCAGTATATTGTTTCATCAGTACATAAGGAGCTGCCTTACTTTTTATAGGTAGCTGCGGGTTGTACACAAATGGATATGCTAACATTTATTCTACCAGTTTTATTTCAAACGTTATTTAGATTTCTTCCAGAATTTTGCAATTAGAGAAAAATGCTCCAATGAATAGCACTTACTACAGTATCATTTTCTATAAGGTAAAGCTCCAGTGGTATAAATTCTGTGTCAAATGTATATATATTCTGTGTCAAATGAATAATATACATTCACACTTTGATACCTATTTGGTAATTACTCTTGTTGAGTCTGCACACTGTTCACCTTGATGCAACCCTCAAGAGCTTCTGATCCTCCCATTGTTACCACCACAGTGTGTTATCAATCTGTTTGAGTTAGGCAATAAAATTTTCACCAGTAAGAAGGGGTGGACTGAGCATGTCATTATGGTATTTCTTTTATTTACATGTGTGTGTGGATTAATATCACTAACAATTTTGAGAGAAAAATCAAACACAAAATAGTTCATCCTGTAAACTACATTGATTTATAGACTCAAAACCAGGTAAATCTCATCTCTGGTGTAAGCAATTAGCATCATACTTACTGATAATAGTTACCATGGTGAAGAGTTCTTCCTGGAGGCAATGTCCAAGGGGTCTTTCTCATTGCTGGGGCAATGCTAACTGGTCCATGCCTTACGAAAAGCTGTTATGGCAGTGTCTCAAAATATTAAGCATGGATCTGTCATTTGGCACAGTAAATCTGCTCCTAGGCATTTACCCCCCAAATTGAAAAACATGAATTGAAAGGAAGCTTGAATTCCCATGTTTATTGCAACACAATTCACTATAGGTAAACTATACATACAACCTAAGTGCCCCCAAATTGATGAGTGGATCAAGATGATGTGGTATATATACACAATGAAATAGTACTCAATGATCAGAATAGATACACTCATGCCATTTGTTGCAACATGGATATAACTTGAAAGGATGATGCTTAATGAAATAAAGAAGGAGAAAGAGAAATAGTGGATGGTGTCACTAATATGTGGAATATAAAGTAACTTAATCAATCGTCAGATAAAAGACAAACTGAAAAAATATCCCTTTTCAGCTGACTGAGGAACTGAAACACCAAGTGGGGAAGAAATGGGGTGGAGAAGAACAAAGAAAGAAGCACAATGGTCTATGGTGTGGGATATGGGGGTGTTGGTGGTAGGTGCACTATGGTGGTAATATCTGATGTGGGTACCCTAGTATTACCTCAGTTAAAAATAAAACAAAATTGTGACTGAATGATTATCACAAATATTGTTTAGAAGTAAAAGTGGAATAAATGACTCAAATATATTGAAAAAGAGATTAATAAAAATATACATGGTATAGAGTTTTAGTTTACAAGAAGGAGTTGTGGAAATGGACTATGGTGATGCCTGCACAACAATATGACTCTATTGAGTACCATTGCAACGTAATCTACAGATTCAGTGCAACCCCTATGAAATTTCCAATGGCATCTTCAAGTAAATAGAACAGATATTACTAGAATTTGTATGGAACCTCAAAAGAACCTAAATAACCAAAGTATTCCTCGAGAAAAGGAAGAATGAAGGTATTATGCTCTCAAATAAGACTACTACCAAACTATAGTAATCAAGACAGTATATAGTATTAGAATAAAAATTAGCACCCATCAATAGAATGGAATTGAGAGCCCAGAATAAGTCCATATATGTATGGACATTTAACTTACGATAAAGGATGTGAGAATATCCAATGAAGACGAGTCTCTTCAACAATTGGTGAAAAAACTGGACAGCAACATGCAAAAGAATGAAAGTAGACTACTATCTCAAACCATGCATGAAAATTAATTCAAAATGCATTAACAATTTGGATATATGACCAAAGCCATAAACTACACAAAAGAAAACATAGTCACTATATGCCACAATATTAGCTCTAGTGTTATGTTTGGGAACTTGACTCCAATGATAAGGGAACAAAACCAAAAATAAGCAAATGGGACTACATCATATTAAGTGTTCTATACAGGGCCTTCCCTGGTGGCATAGCAGTTGAGCGCTGGGCTGCAAAGTTACCCACAGCCTCTGCAGCACGGCAAGGGTTTGATCCCTAGCCACGGGCAAGGGTCCCACATGGCAGGACAGACCTCTCCTGCCACGCCTGCTGGTCCCCTCAGCAGTGTATTTCGTCAGTCTGCCTGTTCTGTTCCCCTTTCTGGCTCTGGTGAATTCTCTCACCCTCCCGTGCTTCTGACTGTACCCAGTGCTTGTATAAATAAATAAATAAATCTTTAAAAAAAATAAAGGGCTCTACACAGCACAAAACCTTCCATTAAAAGGAAGAACCTTCCTAACAAATGGGATGCAGACATCCAACAGGTCGTTAATCCAATGAAAATTGGGAAAATGATGTAAATAGACACTTCTAAGAAGTCATTCATGGCCAACAGCTACTTGAAAAAAATGCTCAAATTATTTATTGTCAGGGAAATGCAAATCATAACCACAAGAGATATCATCTCACACCTATGTAACTGGTCTATATCAAAAAGACATATTGGTGAAACATGTTGATTAGAGTGTATAGAAAAAGGAAACCTCACACACTATTAGGAGACTATAGGCTGCTGCAGTCTCTATGGAAAACAGTATGGCAGTTCCTCAAAAAATAAAATTCATCTACCATGTGATCCAGCAATTTCACTTGTAGGTATCTACTCAGAGAATGCAAAAATTGGAAGGGATATATGCACACCGGTATTCACTGGGGCACTATTTACAACAGCCACGTTATGGAAACAACTGAAATGCCCAGTCATAATGATGGGTACATACCACAGTAGTGGTGGAGGTATGTATTCTCCCTCCACATGGGGGTTGTTCTGTCTTAAATCCATAGTAATACTACAGAATTATATAAAATAAAATCTTAAAAAAAATGGTGCTACCATATGACCCTGCAATTCCACTCCTAGGTATCTCCCCAAAGGACACAACAACCCCCAGAAGGGGGATCAAGAAGATGTGGTATATATACACAATGGAATACTATTCAACAATCAAAAAAGATAAACTCATGCCATTTTGTAGCTACATGAATGGAGCTAGAAGGGATTATGCTGAGTGAAATAAGTTTCAGAAGGAAAAAGAAAAATATTGTATGGTTTCACTTATAGGAGGAATATAAGGGAACCAAATAACAGATCAGTAGAAAATAATAAAAAAATTAAAAAACCCCCACAAAACTAGAAGGCAACCATATATCAGAGACATTCTGCAGGGGAGAAGAAGGGGGAATGATAAAAGAAGGGAGGGAAGAGCACAGGGAGCTATGGTGATGGTTCACAGGTGAATTGGTGGTGGGAATTTTACCAGCACTACACCTGAGAGGAGAAAGCAAACTTGTGTAAAAATGAACAATGGTATGAAAACTGGTACATGTGATACATTGTAATGATATATGTAAATAAATATTAAAAAATATGAAAGGTACAGTATTGCAAATCAAATTACCTCAATGATAAAATAGATTACTAGAGCACAAAGGAATCTATTTTGATATCTTCCAAATAAAACATAACCAAGTATTATTTCATATTTTTCTGTTTGATATAGGGTTGATGATTAAGCCAGTAAAAATGCAAAATATGAGAAGAAACAACCTTTTAAAAAAATTTAGCTCTGTTTCTGCTGCCATATTTACTCAGTGCAAGTTCCTCCTTTCCTTCAGAAGCTTGGTGAGAAAAATGCCAATAGAGGAAGTGACTGGAAAAGGTAAATCAAGGCCTAAATCTTTTGTTATTAAGGCAAAACTGTAACAAAAACAATCCCAAATAATTTCATTTGCTTGTTTATTTATTTTTATTAAAGATTAGTGATAGTACACCATGAAGACCAGAGAGCCTGGAACCAGATACCCTGGTTGCTAATCAAGTCTCATTATAAAACCAAACAA